AAATGCAACAAAAAAAAAGTGTATAAATAATATAAAAAATATTTGTAATTTACCAAAGAAAAGAAATCCGTACTAAAAGCGCTGAAGCATTTTTTAATTCCGCAAATGTTTTCTTAACGTTAAAATTCCATGAAAGGAAAAAGGGTGGAACTGATGCAGTTGCACTCGCAAGTTGTTGAAAAGTTTTTAATCAAATAAAAATACGAATCGAATTAAATCACATACACAACAGTGCCGTCTAAAGTAGAGTCTTTCCGAAATCTATGGCAATTATGGGTTTGTGTTGTTTGTTTTGGCTTACAATGAAATCGTAAAAAATCTAATAAAATTAAATGAAAATCATGTTTGACGTTGTGCTTGACTTGAACGCTGATTGAAACGTCAGTATGGCAGGCAGTTTCTTCACTTCTTAGTTTCATTTTACTGTATTTTTTTTTTTTTTGCTTCACTTCTATTTTCATGTTAATATTTTTTAATGATAAATTTTCATTTGACACTGCAGACAAACAAGGCATATCCGGCGCGCATGCAGTGGAAAGGAGTTAATTATCATGTGCGATTGAATGTCGTGAGAAAGCAGAATGAGTGTCACCAGCAAAATTAGCTGCGAACAGTGGAGTTGGAAGCATTTTTCTCACAGGTATTTTCCGACTATTTTCAACAACTCCATTTATACGAAGATGGAGTTATGAGCTATGGTTTTGGGTTTAGGGGTGATATTATGACATTAACGAGCAGCGGATGTCAGTGCACTGTAGTCAATACACACAATCTGTAAATATGTATACACTGTAGTACATACTTATAAGAATTGATCAGGATTAGCAGAACAACAAGAAGGGAATGTATAAAATATTTTTATAGCAATTGAAAGATAATTAAGTACATTTTAATTGATATTTATTATAACAGATTTGACGGGACCCTATGCTCCACTTAGTAGTGAAGGACTGCAGTAAGTAAGTAAATAACAGATTTGACAACATATTTTCCATACATAATTCATAATATTTTCATACGAAAAGTAATTTTTTTGAACATTTTATAGAAATATATTTAAAGAGCTAAATATTCTTCTGCCAACTCTAAATATAATTAATATCAAATACTTTTTTTCTTTAGATAATTTTTTGAAATATTGTTTGTACACATGTGCTTTGGTAATACTTCAAGTACATTAATCCCTATGTACTGGTAAGACATGCCACTTAAACATTCAACAATCCTAAATTTGTCATTTCAAAATTTCATTAATTTTATTTGAGTTTCGTCTCTGTTGTGTTTTGTGACTTTTAATGCATTTTTATTTATTTAATTTGTAATATGAGTACTTCGCCTTCGTCCGTCTGTCTGTCTATTTGTCTGTCTTCATATTCGACATATTACATATTAAAATGATGTGAGATAGATTTTATGTGATTGCAGGTTGAGTCAGACTAGATGGTAGTTCAGTTAATAAAAATTTTGTCGTCACAAAGTTTTAGATCTTGTCAGACACGCAAACCAATTTATTTGATTTTAACAGCAAATTTAACCTTTTGGAAGGAAAAAAAAGTCAACATTGATATTACTATAGTTTTTTAAACTTTTATACATAATCAACCTTTATGAAAACTATCATACTAATACCATAGTATTCAGAAATTCGGAAATTTTTCGACTTAAACTCAGCGGTTAATATAGACTTTATGGCTTAAATCAGTGATTCACAACCTTTCTTTGACCAAGGACCACTTTGGTATGCCTGTTTTTAGTAAGGACCACAAAGTTTAAGAATAATAAACTATATGATTATTTTAATATGCTTTATGCAACTCTGATATAGTATACAATGAATTGTATAAGTTCATAGGTACATTATATTGACTGTAAAATAGATATATAATTACTTGAACATGTTTGTTGCTTATTTTTTAATAAGTGTGGTCTCAGTGGACAAACTACAAACTATGTATCCATAACTGTTAAATTTGGTTCACGGACCATTTTTAATCATCTTGCGGACCACCGGTTAGGAACCACTGACTTACGTATTCGAAAGCATTAAAACCCAAGATTTATCCCATTATGAAAACACTAATGCAGTTGGTCTCAGTGTGAATGGAAATAAAACAAGATTTATGTAAACTATAACCACACAAAACTACCACAAAAATCGACCGTCTGTATATCTGATAAGATCTGAAACTTTCGTATGATAAAAATTTTATCATTCAAAATTACGATGAAGTCTGTCTCAATCGCAAATAAAGTAAAACAATCTCACACCATTTTAGTATACTATATAATGAATCAACTCTTAGCAATTAGGGTTTTGTAAAGTTTTGTTACTTAGACATCACGATAACAAAATATAGAAGAACTAAAAATCAATATCTGGTATTTAAAATCGACAAGAGCTTAATATCGCATATGGGAATTTTGGTGCTCAAGTCACAGACCTCTCATAAATGATTTACAAATAACAATGTGATATAAACATATATATTACAACTGTTAGCAGGATTCTAAAGAATATTTTTTAAAAGTACATATCTTTGTTAATTAAATTAAATACAAACTCTTCTCTTTCCATTAATATTATTCTGAAAACGTATGTTTGAGGTCCATGTGAATTCAGATTATTATTGCGCTTACCAAAACCCTTGTCATATCTATATATAAAGTGTATGTCAATAAAGAAAGAAAATGACGACAATAAAATCCACTATATCACCGTTTTAAGCTTTTTTTTTAATATGTATTTTGTTACTGTTTAATAGCCTCACGAAATAAAATAGACTGTAATAAACATAAGGA